CTGATATTTGTAATTCTTTCTTCTGAATTTTTGTTCATTACATTTTCCTAATGTTAGAGATTTTTTTTGTTTTCTTTCTTTACTTAAAAAAATCCTTGTTAATTTTGAACATTCTGTACTTTTTGTTGTTTAAATAATCATTCTTTTATTCTCTTTACTCGTTATTCTTACAATCAGAATTTTTTTTTTATTAATTATTTTACAATTGTTGTAGAAGCGTGTTTCTATCATCTTGGTTATTTTGATGTGTTTTTATTACTGTTTTTTTTCTTTTAATTATTTTATCATCAACAATGTTTTCATCTTTATTATTTTACTTCGATGCTTTTTGACTTTATTTCAATCTTTACAATATCATTATCAGTCTTATCATTAGTAATAAAAATTCACTAAAAAGCTAGAGAGATTGGAGTATCCTTGTGCTGGAACGAGAAGCGAGAGAGTTAGCTTTGATGAAGAGAAAACTATGGAGAGAAGAGAAGACAAAAGTAGTGAGCAAAGACAAAGAGTGAGAAAAGGAAGAAAAAGCTGATGATGTCGACAAAGACTAAACTTTGAACGTCTTTTGCGAAATTTAGTGCCTCGTTAAAACGCGTTCATAATGTCGTAATTAGCGGCAGAATCAAAGGGAATTATGCTTCGTAAGTTTGAAATACGAAGACAGTGAAGTCGAGTGATTTTTCAATGCAGGTCATCTGGATGTGATGAGGTGTTGAGGTGTTGAGGAATAGAGGAAGGAACGAATAGGTCATTGGAATTAGTGGTCAGAATAAAAGTAGATGGGTGAGATCGGAGCAGTTTTATAGTAGCGTCTTGTCTAGTAATGGTGGAAAAGAATACAAGGCGATAACAGGGAGGAGGTGACAGGAGATGAGAAATTTGAAAGAGAAAAGAAAGAAGAAGAAGAAGAAGAAGAAGAAGAAGAAGAAGATTGAGACGGGAGAGGGCATTAAAAAAAGAGAAAAGTCAGAAAACGGAGTGGGGTGAATAGCGGAAGAGAGACGCGGATGGGGAAAAAGGCAAAAAAAAAAATAGGGAAAGAGAAGACAAAGGTAAGAGAAAAGAGCAGCTAAAGGCAACCGAAGAGGAAAAAAAAAGTAAAACGCAGGGAGAGAAGCTTAAAAAAGAAAGGTGGAAAGAAAGAAGGTAAATGAGAAGAAAACGATGAAAAAGAGATTGGAGAAGATAAAAAAAAAGGCGGGGAGAAAAAATACAAAGCAAGAGGAAAAGCTAAGAAAAATGAGGTGAAGAGAAAGAAAAGAAGAAGAAAGAGAAGGAGAAGAAAGGAGAAAAGTCACAAAAGAATTGAAGAAACCCGAAAGAGAAAGAGAGAGGAAGATGACAGTATTAAGCAAATGTTAAAAGACGAGAAAATAATGAATGACTGAGGGAAAAAAAGACTTAAAAATGAAATAGAAATGAAAGAATTAAAAGACAAGAAAAAGAAATTACACGAACATTAACGCGAGGGGAAATTTTTTTTAAAAAAAAAACTAACTGAAAATTTATCGAATAAGATGTAAACTCGTTCGAACAGAATCTATCAATATCCGACCCATGAGAAGTAAATTTAAATGTAAATTCTATACATCTGTTGATAAGGCTTAGATTAATTTTACTGGCTACAGGAAACGACATTTACATGAAAAAGAAAATATATAAAATTTTGCTATCAAGAAACAGTCAAGGTACTTTTCTGTCGCAGTAATATTTTCTAAATGAATCATCGTTATGCATTCTTCTTAATTCATGCTAAAAATTACTTTCATCTGAACTTTTAATTATTTTTTATTCACAATGTACTCAGGCAGTCAATATATTGTAGCGAATAGACAACAATTCATGTCTTTTTAGCTTCAGTAAAGGTTTGTTAAATTTCTCAGCTGCTCTAAACAACTGAACTACGAGAAGGCTTTACAAAGGATCAAATCAGACATTAAGATGGACCTTTCATTTTGCGGATCCTCTTGACGTCATATTTTTACACTGGTAATAATCGTAGCGACATCATCGTTTTTATATTCCCGGCATTGTTAGGGCCATCGACTCTCTTTGTATAGTTACTATTCTTAACAGTATCTTACAAAGAAGAGATTACAGCATCTGAACAATGTTGATATGTTTTTTGTTATTTCATTTTAATTTGTTTTTTTGTTTTCTTTTTTCAAGCATATCACCCCAAGCAAGCAACTAACACACAAGGGGTTACACAGAGTGAGAGCAAGAGCAAAGAGGGATGTTTGTTCCACTGTCGGGACGTACGACATTTAACTGTTTCGACAGGGAAAGACTGGGACCAAGATGCCAACCTAGTAGGACGCTTAAATTCATGCAGTTTGGGTACCAGTGAAAATAGCTCGTCAGAGCAGTTGCCATGAAAATATTTGTAGAAAAGACAGAGGGAAGCCACAACACGTCTGTGAGAAAGTGACTGTAGACAAGATGTCAGATCAGGACCTATCACATTGCGTATCCGTCTCTGGACTTTGTCGAAAACCTCGAGATGAACAGCGGGGGCACCAGACCATATATGGCAGCAGTATCCAATGCAAAAGACGAATGGTTGATTTGTAGACTTGAAGGATTTTAATGGCACTTAATGTCAGAGAGAAAAAAATTTATTTTACCCTTTATTACATGAAGCCTTCTTAGTCATCCTTATTTATTTTGGCAAGAATTTACTTTCATATTGTTGACAACAAATTTCGTTAATTGAGCTAAATCTGGAACGATGCTACACGTGTATGACATCTAATAAAGATGGGTTGATCTCACTAGAGAATGAATGAGTCTAAGATATTACCCTGATCACTGTCTATTTGCCCGTTTGATATTCATTAAGCTTATCGTCGGAGATTAGGAGGCCGAATAGGAGTAAGAAAACTATCATGCAACCGGTTTCATAGTGGGAGAGTCCAACTGCATCTAAAATCAGCAATTGTGATCATTTTGATTCTGATAGCGGATACAGAACTAACTCACCAAAGATGGCCGAACTATGACCCATGTTTTCCGCCATAGATATCTCAATCTTTAAAAAGAATCACCCAGCATCTTTTACCTCGATGATTGTTTTTAGGTAAGTTTATTAGCGCATAAACCAGTCCTGTTTAATACATTCATTTACAGATTGCCAATCAAAATCTGATGTGATCGGCGGTCTGAACAAGTCCTTCCCGCCCAAACCCTCGGTTACGATGTCATGTGTCTTCGTGCTCACACAACTATCGACGGCTTCAAAACAGTCCCGTCTTCCCATTTTCATTCACAAGGCTTGCGGTATGCCTTACAGGAACTTTCCAACGACGCGGCAAACTGGTATCGCCTATCCAGCTCAATAGCACCAAGGTCAACTTCCTGACAAATAAATCCTCCTGACAACCTCGAGTCATGTTCTTAAAAGCCTCGTCAAATCTAGACTCTCATATAGATTTGGCGTCCAACTCATTCAGAAATGTTTAAACTGTCATGTGTTTTTTATTACTTAATCGTTATTTTTAGTGGATACTCGTATTTGAGTAGACGCTCTGTTTATTTATTAAAGTTTTTTTTTCGTCTACCGGCCTGAATATTCGAGAAACCTTATTAAAGAGAAATATACGCTCTCCATCATGATTCGAGCTTGCCTCCACCTTAGCAGGGGAAACCGTCGTTAGATCCGACGTGCTTTAGACGGTCTCAACCACGATGATCAAGGAAATATCGTGCCTTATAAACGCAAAACTTTCTCAGACTATCGAAATATGCATATCTTCTCAGTTACGTATTCGAACGTAAACAATATTGATGGAAGTGATGGATTTATTTATTTATTAATCCGATAGATTTTATTACTTAAATGTTATTTTAGAGGATATTCATATTTGAGTAGACGGTCCGTTTATTTATTAAAGAGTATATTTATTTTCGCCTACTGGCCTGAATATTCGATAAAATCTTCTAAAAGAAAAGTATGCGCTTTCCGGCTAACGTTTAAGCAATAAAAACTGTCAGATGAATGATTTTAAAAACCCATCCCTTCTTTAGAAATGAGTGTTATCTGTAGACAACTGTTTTGTCAGACCTATGATTAAAAGTCTCTTCAAAGGAATAAATCCTATAAAATCTAAAGAAGACGATCCTTCAGTAGAACCTACAGATTGGGGCTTCAAATCTTTACCAAATAAGGAAAAACACATTACTTGACCAATTCCAACAGCAGCAACAATGGAAATAGCTAACGCATGTAAGTAAAAGAGAAAATAATGATATAACCAAACATTTAACATTCCACACTGCTAAAAACAAAAGGTTGGGAAGAAAATTCCAATCACTATTGGAAAGTGTGATAACTTTTTGCCGACAGGGAAGTTCTAAATTGCAGGAAAAGCTGTTTTGATAAAAACATTTTATGAATTTCAACCGACAATAATTGTTCAGTTGATGAATGCCAAATATTTTCTGTATGGAAACAACTAATGTTATAATTATCTACACGCAAAAACATAAAGGGGTTATTATACATCTTTAACTAATTTGTATAAATAATGAAATATTCTTTCGGTAAATATACAGGGGAACGTTAATGTATATTTATAATCATGTTTTCGTAAAATACTTTTGTCACAAAGAAAAAATAAAATATATATATATATATATATATATATATATATATATATATATATATATATATATATATATATATATATATATATATATATATATATATATATATAGCAAGACTCTTCGGTAAAACGAATCGAGTCCTCTCAGTTAATGTGGGTTCATCTAAAAATAAATACGCTTAAATTCACCTTCATCCCTACCGTGCATCAACTCCGACTGACGGGTTTCGATCCTAGCTAGAGGCAACCGGACGTCTATCTACACTGATGAGCTGTGATGCATCAAAACAGTCTGTCTGTGGATGGCAATAGATAGATAGATAGATAGATAGATAGATAGATAGATAGATATGCATATATAAAGATCGAGTCTTCCGTCACTCTTGACAGATGAGGTTCCTTGATGTCTTACTTGTATCCATGCCTTCGATGATCTCTTAGGCCATCTCGATACTGACTTAGTCTTCCATATATACAGGACAAGAAAGAATACCACACGTGAAAACTGTAGGAATGTTAGAGTGGTTTTTAGTATTCTGCATTTTAATACGCAGATGTTCAGTATGTTACCATTCGAAAATTATTATGCCTTTTATGTACATATTATCACTCCATGCAAGGCACTAAAGCCACTAAGACACAAGTGCTTACTGAGTGTGAAAGAATAAGAAAAAAGAGAAACATTATTAGGGAGCGAGAACAATAAAAGAAGAGAAATCAAGAAGACGGTAGATAATGATTGAAATTAGATTGAAATTTTCGAAGATCAAAGTTAGCTGGAAAAGATGGAGTCGGAAGAGAATTCCACAAGCGAGAAGTACGAGAAAAGAAACTGTTAGCATAGAACTTACGGTTACATCTAACCAATTCAATTGTAAATTGATGAGACCTTATCGCCAATCTAGTATTGTGCTTGAACTCATAAAGTCTAGGTAACCATAGCGAAGAGTTCATCCGAACAATTATCATAAAAGTATTTATGGTGGAAAACATACAGAAAGCGACTTTACAGCGATGGGAAAGAGACTGAAGTTGAGATGCCAGATCAGGACCAACAATATTACTGATTCTCCGTTGGATATTATCAAGAATTGTAATATAGATTCTGGAGGGAAAAAGTGTCATGTACTACACAGTGAACCAATTTTCTTAGCAGCAGACGTAGCACTAGATTCAATATAATTTCCAGTTCATGTTAACCTAAGCCACAACAAGTCACTTTTATTGAGGTTCGTGTCAACTTTGATAGGAAGCAAGAGAGGGTCATTTAAGTACACTTGATAGGGAGAAATTTCGTTTTGGGGGCGTTATTTTATTAATTTGCTGTATTAATCGAGAGTCCATTTTCAATATTAACATTTTTCTTGGTCTAAAGTCTTGAGTTTTATATTAGAGAAGCAATTGTAAGGACGAATCTGTCATTCTATTAATCATAAGTGGGAGTTAAGTATAAATTTAGAGTACAGTAACATGCTTTAATTTTTGCAGTGTATTGGTAGCGTATTCTTGTATGTGCCATATCCATTTAGGACGTCGGCGATTATGGCTCTTCACGACATCATGACCTTTGTTGCTCTTGATAACGCTTCTTTTCTTTCTTTGTTTTTTTTTTTTGTTATTTTTGCTATCTCTCTGTTCTCTCTTAATAAGATTTTTTTTTGGATCTGTCTATATTTCTGAGATGAGGTATTATGTACACTATTTATATTATTAAGACTATTGTCCTCGTCTTTGTTGCCATATTTATCACAACGCTTCGGCCGTTGTACACTCCGGCCTTCTTCAGGTGGTTGGAATGTCGAAGTGAACCCTTTATTTTGCTCGCTGAGATAGACTGTTCTAATTCCACGTGCCATGCTTAATGGATGTCAGTTATCAGTTATCGCCTGTTAATTCACCTCCCTAAGTTCTCCACTGCCTTAAGCAGGTATTAAACTCACAACTCTTTGGCTCCTGTCACTGGATCTAACTAACGTCTTTATACACTGTGCCATATGTCCTTAGCTCCAGTGACAGGACCCAATTTTTTTTTTTTTTTTTACTATGTCTCTTTTCTAACAACTATTTACACAAGCTCTTTAGGCATGTTATTTGCTGCTTTTCTGTCTCTCTCGCTTACAATATAATCGTTGAAATTCAAATTCTTAAAGCCCCCGTTCCTCATTATGCACCGTAGAAATGTAAATTGTATCTTTTTGGTTCTTTGTATAAGCATTCTTTTGGTTTCTATTTCCCTAAAAACTTCATTATTTTTAACCCAACTAATGGGATTCAAATTGCATTTACGTCGTATAAGGCTATGGGCATTCAAGAAAGGGAATAACGCTGTGGAGACATCTAGAAAATATGTCGTGTTTATGGTCAAGGTGTCATAAGTGCCTACCTGCAAATAGGAAATTGTTTTTCAATGTTTCGTTATGAAGAAACCTTCTTGGGAGATGAACCAAGACGAGAACGTACATTGAACTTTGACATTGGGAGCTCCAAAGCCATTAGTGGAAAACGATTCGCAGCAAAATACTCGGGAATTAACGAAGATGTGAAACACATCACAATCTTTCCATAAACCGATACTTGGAAAAATTAGTGAAAGTCGGCAAGCCGGAGATATGGACTTCACACGCTCATAGCGAAACATAACAAAGCAGACCGTTTATCCATAGTGACACGTCTCCTTCCACAACAGAGAAATAACCTGTTCCTTAAATTGATCACAACAGGTAATGAAAAATAGGCTGCATACGACAATGTTCATCGCAGTAGGCAGTAGGTTATAATAAATCTCGCCAACAGATGCCAAAAGCTGAGCTTCAATGGAAGAAAGGCGTGTGATCGTCATGGTTTTATTCCTTTCGAGTTCTTAAAAAAGCAATGAAACAATAAACGCACATTTATACGTTCAACCTCTACAACAAGTACAGAAAATCTTTGCTTGTCTATAATAAAGATGTTGTTCTTTTCTATATTAACGCAAGACCACATCTAGCAAGAATAACACAAGAAAAAAAAATAGAAATCTGTTGACCTATTCTACCCCTACACACTATATTTACCTGACCTTGTACCAACCGATTTTTACATTTTTCGATCGCTGAAAAATGCTTTAATAGGGGAAATTCCCTCCAATGAAAATCAAATTTAAGACTTCGTTGAAATAATTTTCATATCAAAGCCCGCGGAATTTGACACAAAACATGTCGAAGAGCTGCCTGATGAGCGGCAACAAGTCACTGCAAATCATGCTGAATATGTAATTGCATAAAATGTAATTTTACTTTATTTTTTTAAGAACAAATTTGATAACACAACCTAATAAGTAATATGGTTTTAAGCATAACGACGATGCTTAAGTCATTTTGGTTCTCCTCAAGCGCTCGTTACCTCTGACCTCGTGTCAAACTTGCCTATCCAACGAATATATAATTCAGAAATATTGAATTAGAGATAAGACATACAAATAACTCTCTTAACGACGCTGACAAATGGTCTTCTTAGATCCTCATGTAATGCTTCATTAAAAAAAATATTAGTGATTTCAAAAAGCTTTGTTTGCACGCAGACTGCCACATACACTTAAAATGCCACATTTATTCGTAAATACACAAACGCTTGCGCGCGTACACATTACCATATACAAATCAACAAACGAACAAAGGAAGGATGAAAGATTGCTCGACTAAAACGCACTTAGGCACACAAGGGCAAACCGGCGTTCCCTTGAGCATTCGTCTGTGTGCGCATGCGTTGCACATTTTTTTTATTCTAAAGGTCGATTCCTTTGCGCGTGCCAAGGTCAATATAACTTGTATTATTAATTTGTAGCAACAAAATTCCTCTTTCATTTGAATGTTTTTTTTTTTGTTGCTTGTTTTTCAATACCATTTTTTAATGTATGCTAGGCTGCTGCTATTATTATTATTCATTGAGTTTTAGCGCCACCAGTAATTGTTAGCTTTCGCGTGGTATCATGTGACAACAAGTCATATCAATACGTCAGAATTCTCCTCAATATTCAAACTGGTTTTAATAAATACTGTCGTCTGGATGATTTCGATAGTTTGAATTTTCAATTCTTCCAAAAATCTTCGATATAACTCCAAGTGTCCCAACAATATTCCTCACTTTTCTCACAACGCTCAGATATTTTTCCAGATTTTTATTTTCTTTCATAGTATTTGTTGGAATATTTTAAAGCTCCACAGTATCATATGCCTTGCTATTCGAAAAAGCATCTTAATTGTTATACTCACATTATATTGTAATGAAGTATGTGTGCCGATTAAATATTAAGTAAATGTTACAGTCAGCCAGCCAGTGGCCTAATTGCTTCGGGTCCGATAAGTGGACCTTACATTCTGTCTGCGATGTGTGAGAGACTATCTAAACTATATCTCGGTAGTTGTTTACATCTGTTCAACATTCTCATTCCCACAATTGCTTAGGTTGATCCTGCACCTGGCTTTCTTTAACAGTCTGGTATGAAATCTTACAACGGTGTCTCTTCTGGCCTAATACCCTCAGGCCTTCTACAGGTGCCTGTCATTGTTACTTGTAACCTTCTAGAAACTTCGAAATATGCTTACGAAATATTTCCTATAAGTTAATACTCACCAGATTTATTCTTCTTGCTCGTTTTCTGTCACTGAACCAGATCCTATAATGTTTCTGTACTACCAGAACCAGGGAGTGAACTCACAACTGCCGGGGAACTAGATGTCTTAACCAACCTTTTAATCCACGGGGCTTTATATCTGCTAAGCAAAAGGGGCCTTAGTATGCAACCTTCAACAATTTTATTTTCACTGTTGAAACGACATCCTGCAGACAAATTAAACATACTCAGTAATTAGTTTGCTCCTGCGAGCATAAATATATTTCTGATTGGGAAACTTACGATGCTGCAGCGTGTACTTTACAGAACTTGCATATGAAACCTAGAACCGGCAACCTTCGTCCGGAAAAACATGAATATATGTAGACACTAAAGCAATTTCAATGGGGACTGTAATTATAGAACCGTCGATGTTAACAAGTTTCACACAGTAAGCCCTCCTTAAAAACTGGCATTAACTATAAAAATTAGTATTAATTATAGGTTTAAAAAATAAATCTAGTATTATATGTTTCTAGCGATAAGCCGTTAATCCCCGCGTTACATTTGACACTTTGGGCATTAATGAGTTAAATAAGAGGACATAAGCGACATTTTTATAAGTGGTCTAATATCTAATACCATCAGTCAAGAGATTGAGAACAAAAACACTTGATCTTTCAATTACCATTGATCAAGCAAGTGAGATAGAAGAGGAGCAAAGGGGTTCAAAGTCAGACTCTGCATTACAGACAGTCTTCAGTA